ATGATACTTTTAAACAATATTTCTAATGTCAATTATGATGTCAACACATTCGTAAGCAAATGCTGAAAAATGCAGGCCATCGGGTAGGTTTTAGTTATTCATTTATGAACAGAAATTGTTGGTTACAAGAGTCCGACTTAAAATATTTCCTTTTTCCGTGCCCTCGGGAACGGGAGCAGACTTCTGAAAAACAGGTCGTACACAAAATCTTAGTATATAGAAATGACACGGCGGTGGTATAGGACCAAATGTGTGGTGTACTTCCTTGTGTTTGTTTGTTGTTTAACGCCGCACCCGATCCCGTTCGTAAGAGGCGACTAACGTTGGTTGTTTTATTGTTTAATGCCGCAATCAGCAATATTTCAGCTATATGACGGCGGTCTGTAAATAATCGAGTCTGGACCAGACAATCCAGTGATTGACATCACGCAACTGGGATCGATGACATGCATCAACCAAGTCAGCGAGCCTGACCACCCGATCCCGTTTGTCGCCTTTTACGACAAGTATAGTCACCTTTAACGGCAAGTATGGGTTCTTATGGGTCCTTAAAATATGTGTTGCAGTGTAAATGTGACATGACCTTAACCACCGTAAACGGGCCGGAGGTGTACAATAACACCCCGCTGAGTTCTATTACTTTATTTGAAGATCGTAGAATATTCCATTTTTCAATATGTCAGCATCCAGCTGATACAAGAGACAAGTGAATCGTTCTCCTTAAGCTACTAGAGAAGAATTACATTTTTGATAATGTCTTCATTTACGACGCAAACACCCGTATTCAAGACGTTTTTGCCACTGTTTAGTCTTGTGAATGCTGTTAGCACTAATTACAACTTTTCTCAACTCTGGGCCACCCTGAATGTGTAAATGTATGTATGTGGAATTACCCGGGCGATACACCGATAGTATTAATCACACAGCTGCGTGCCTGTTCAACATTTTGTGGCCTGAATCTGAACACACCCGGAAATTGTTCTGATAATAATGACACAACAAAGCAACAATCGTTTCGAGTCATGTATTTAAAAAAACCCAAATATTGAAAGGAGTTATTTCCTTCTTCCAGTTAAAAACAAACGCGAGAGAACAACTAGCGTCCATTCCCTGGCAAACGAACCGTCTCGACTTTCCCTTCATAATGCGAATATTGCTCCCAGTTGCTTCAGTTTTGATATCAGGTTTGTGAAATTTTAGGAAACAACTGACGAGACCATAGTCTTCTGAAGTGTTCTAGTGCTCCTAGTCTTGTAACGGCAGTGTAGAACATTCCCGCATCTAGGTAGGTTATATTATAGGAGAAAAGAGCGTGTTTAGGCATCTCTCACGCATTTCATCACATCGGAACCCGATTTCATGTGAGGATTGTTCATCATCCCTGATCCCCTGCCTAGCCCATCTCGGAAACGTGATCACTGTCGCCACTGGTTGAATATATATTTATTATCACTGACTTTTGTATTTTTGTATTTAATACTGACCACTGCCATCATATTATTTATTGTCATTTAATACTGTACTACCACTCCACTGTTAAATGCCATGATTGTAATATGTGTGCTGTGCACTAATTTGAATTGGTTTGTAAACATGTGTTGATTGTATACCACTTTCTGGGTTAACATATTGTTTCAGTTTGGGAATGGACACGGAACACCAAACAGTTTGAAAAATAACAAAAAGTAGATCTGTTTCTGTTTTATATGTGTCAATACTACAATGCTTAAAACCGTATGAAGAGGAAGTTGACAATATCATATGTCGAGTCGGTTTCCTAGTGAACAAGTTTATTCATAAAGAGAAAACAGCGATTATTCTAATAGTATATGTTGAGAACATTACAATTTACAACAAAATAGCAACCTACGTGGTTTGGTGTACAGAGTGTTTGTCCAAGAGCGGCAGGTCGATGGTTCGATCCCCGGCCGCGTCTTACCAAAAGACGGTATCATGCCCGGCGCTGGCATTATTGGGATAAAACAAGGACTGCTAGGCTCGGATTCAGCATTCTGGGGACCCGTGAAGATTGGGGTTAAGATAGGTCTTCAGCAACCTATGCTTGTCGTAAGAGGCGACTAACGGGATCGGGTGATTAATGCATGCCATCTTATCCCAATTGCGTAGTTTCATGCTCATCATATCGAGTTCAGAATCGATTATTTACAGACCGTCGTCATACAGCTGAAATATTGCTGAGTGCGGTGGTAAACAACAAACAAACAAAATATAATGTGCCTATCCAACTTCTTCCCTTTTGAAAACATCGCCATACAAGCAAGAAAGTGTACCCATGTTTAACTGCGGCATGTCATCTAACAATAAAACCGGCATTAGTCCAGGGCGTGCACGCACACACGCACGCACACGTGTGAAATGTAATACACAAATACACAGGCCCTGTGAACATCAACATTATTACTATTATATCTTGTGATGATCAAACTAGTAATGAGAATGTTGCCTGCTAGCAATGTTCCTTGACAACAATGTAGGAATATATTCCAGATTCCCTGTCATCATCCACAATGGCAACCTGAAGTGGGCGAGCAGGGACTGGTTGATCAATGGCCACTTCAGTGTCACTGAAACACAAGCAAATGTTAGGATTAACTAATTATTGGTTCGGCAGCTCGACTACTGAGAATTTCTAGGGCTTCGTTCCTGCCAACACTGAAGCACATGTAACACATGTGTCTCCTTAGGCAAGAGACTATGTTCGCAATATGTCTGTCCAACCAGCAGTGAGTGGGTACCCAGTAGGATGAGATGGTAATTTGACTGTTAACCTTTCGTGGCTCTGTGCATCACCTACGTCTGAAGGTCCATTAACTTTTATTACGCAACGCATGTTCGCTGTAAGGAGCTTAAATGACAGACTTTAGAGATAAGATATAAACATTTAGCATGTTGCAAACGTCGCATGATCAATGTTGTTGCTTTATTAATGATTAAATATGTTAAATTAAGTGTCTTTGAGTGTCTGGTTCCAAGAAACAATATCGTTCTGGGGACAATGGTAAATCTGTCATACTAACCCTTGCACTTGCTGTCCGAGGTCACGTGCTTCATGACACACTGTTGTGTTTGGGAGTTGATTTCTTCGGGCCCTTGCAACATAAATCACTTACTTTCATTGCTAGACATTGGTGTAGTTTCCTGTTCTATCACCTCAAAACAAAATATCCCCTAATGTTTTGGCATAGTATATATGCCGGCAAATTGTGATGATTTTTTTCTTATATCATCATCGAGACACAGGTGTAGACTTTAACCTTTAACCTCAAGTGCTGAGTGGACTGATGCTCATGCATTCAGTCACTGGTTTGCCTGGTCCAAATTATAAACATGCCGCCGTCATATGCTTGAATTATTGATGACTTCGGCGTTGAAAAACTTTCACTCACTCTCTCACTCAGAATTAAAAGAGACAATATAACAAAAACAATTTACCGTTGAAGGCTTCCGTGCACTTTGTACAGTTTATATCCAATGGCAGCGCAGATTAGAAGAAGAACCACAGCAACTGCCAGACCGATGCCAATGTTAATTCCCTGCCGACGAGACGAAGGGTATAGGTCTGTCGTTCCTATTGGAATATAAACATGTTTGGAATCAACTCCTTAAATAGGTGAGGTGAATTGGGTTTAACGTCGTTTTTAAGATTATTGCACTTCAACAGCGTGGCTGCTTGTTTTTGTCCGGATTTATGCCGATTTTACAGTACTCGCAGTCTAACATGGATACCAGACTCAGACACATTATACTGATTCAAGCCGACCACTCCTTGCTCTCACCCCTGCTTAGCGCCAGACAGGGTAACAACAAGTGCCATCTTTAAACACGTTTGCGGGATCGGGTGGTCAGGCTTGCTGACTTAGTTGATGCATGTCATCATATCTCAATTGCGTAGATCGATGCTCATGATGTCAATCATTGAATTGTCTGGTCCAGACTCGATTATTTACAGATCGCCGTGATATAGCTGGAATATTGCTGAGTGCAGCGTTAAACAACAAACAAATTTAATGTATTTAGTATGACCCAACTGGGAATCAAACCACAGACCTTCCGCTCTGACTGACTATTAAACCGTCAAATTGATTGATGTCAAACGTGTTTATGGGCTTTTGAATTAAATAGTATGACTATCCTGTTTCTTATGACCCGCAGGCCCCTAATCTCGTAATGCAGCACACATTACAACATATTTATGTACTTATTTTACCAGAAGCACGTGTAAAATGTAATTGGACCTACTTGAATCGCTTTGGTCACTGCAGTTCAATCTCAGATTTCCGTCCTCACTCCTGTTGGAAGTCGCTCCAGTTGCCGGATCTTCTTTTACACAGTTCACACTACTGGTGGCTGTGATGGTTGAGTCTGTGCTCTCTGTCTCATCTTGTGTTGTCTCGTGCTCACTTGTGGGGGTCCCTGTGTCTGGGCTGTGTTCAGCCTCTGCAGTTGTGATGTGGGTACATCGGTCACCTTCGTACCCCTCCACACACGACAGACACGTGGAACTGAATTGATCACACAGAATGCAGTTGGGTGGACACCCTTCTTGACAGAATATCCCTGCCCACCCTTCTTTACATCCATGAGTACACTGAAGTTGTGCAGTGTCTGTGTGATGACACGCTCTGTGTAGACACTTATCCCCACAAGTAGATCTGCAATCTCCTCCGCATCCATCTGGGCATCTGAAGCATATCTCTTCCCGTCCAGGACACATCGCCGAGCATGGATAACAGGCTACATCAGTCTCACTTATTGAGCAGAGGTATGTCCCTGAAAGTAATGAACAAGGCGTTGTCACTCTCGTGAATTCTGTTTTTACCCTCATTTATCAACAACAATTTCTAAGTCGCTCAGATAATATACATGATAAATACTCTCACCTGATGATATCTCAAACAGAACAATGAGAGTGAGAACCAGTAGCCTCATCACCAAGGTGAAGCTGGAGTAAACAGCGAGGACGTTTGGTATAGCTACGGTGTTTTATTCACTAATATAACACAGTCTTGCAGGCGTGTTTTTTCTTCCTCAATGTTCGTTTCGCTTTCAATATCCGCATGACACATCGACATTTGATGAATCCAGATGATCACAATTATCAATAACAAGCATGAACCGGTCATTTGAACTGAGGATTACACAATCATAGGAAGAAGAAAAGTACTATGCTTTTCGCTACTTTATTAAATCTAAATGCAGATAACGCTCGGTCCCAGAAAGCATATACACGTGTCTATAACTTGCTCAGCCTGATGACAACAATTCCTATCTGAGAGCCCATGTCCACATACTGTTAGTGTCCACCGCCACACAAATATATATGCATTTCCTATCTGAAGGCGTTTTTTCCGGTTTGGGGCAACAGTAGGTGGATATCTTGGACTTCGAACAAAATTGTTGTGTTGATCAGCATATCATCAGAGGTGTAATATATATATATAAATATATATAAAATAAATAAATAAATAAATAAATAAATAAATAAATAAATAAATATACAAATAAATAAATAAATATACAAATAAATAAATAAATAAATCAATAAATAATATCGTAAACAAGATTGACGCTATTCTTAGACAATACCATCAACATTCCGCTATCTTGTCCTTCTAGTCATGACCACGATTTTAAGTTTATTATGAAAAAGTTTTTGTTATATCTAATTCTTATTTAAATATTGAATTATGAATGATTCGATGTCACAATTCAATCTGACCAAGAGCACATACATATTGTCACTGCTTCCCTCATCAAATTATTGTTTCAGTCCATGAAGGGGACACATTTAAGGATTGTGTTCCATTTGGTTTTCACTTATCGAGGGACAACAGTCCCAAATTATGTGATATCCTGCAGCGTGGCCCAGGTGTTCAATTCACGTGGACATCGAGGCTTCATGATTTTATGTCAGCATCTTTCACTACAACGGAGCTGAAAGGGCAGGTCTGAGGCAGAAGCTGGAATACCCAAACAGCACGAAGTCTAAATGCGCTACAGTAATGGAAATCCCTATCGGTACATCTTTAATGACCCGTGAAGATCCGGGGTAGAATAGATCTTCAGCAACCCATGCTTGTCGTAAAAGGCGACTATGCTTGTTGTAAGAGGCAACTAACGGGAGAGGGTGGTCAGACTCGCTGACTTTGTTGATGCATGTCATTGTATCCCAAATGCGTGATTCGATGCTGTCGACCAATGTCTGGTCCAGACCCGATTATTTACAGACCGCCGTCATATAGCTGGAATATTACTGAGTGTGGCGTTAAACAAACAAACAAACAAACAAACAAACAAACAAACAAACAAATCCAAGAACAATGATAGAAACAGCTCAGTACTCTTCAAGTGTACTCAATTAAAAATACAGCAAAACATCTATCCCATTTTGTCTATCTTTGTTATCATATCAGGTCGATCTCTCCGGCTGGTTATATGTTACCAGTGAATATTTTATAAAAAGTATTCCTCCCGAATACCTCCCGAACTGGGTCCTTTTTGTGGCTGGTAAACAAAAAACGTTTCTATTCTGGAAAAATGTCACTAAAGTAATTTTCTGTTGACTATGTTTCATATAAAGCAACAATGTCTTGTTCAGATACAAAAGAATCGAAGCCAATGTCGGACAGTTTGTTGGTTAAATCTTCTGTATTCCTTGCAATGTAAGATATGATTTTGCATAACCTTCGACCTTGACGGCAGCACCCGCTCCTGATCCACAGTTGACGATGTTCCACTTGAGTCGCGATCTGCGACGGGAGCCGACAACTGATGCTCATCACCTTCCAGAGTAGTAGCTGGCGTGTCCTCAATAACGAGCCTGCCATTCTTATAAAAGCCCCTCTTGTTCTCAGATCTGAGCAAAGTCAGTTTCTCACGCTGTCGCTTATTACGAATAATTGCAAGAAACCGAGCAAAAACAATAAAAAAGGTGAAAAATAGCAATACGTATCCTATATTTCCAATCAAGCTTTGTTTATAAGAATAGTTTACATTAAGGGGCGATTTTAACCCTTAATGTAAAAAAAATAAATTTTTACATTAAGGGTTGCGGGTTGTTCTCCTAATGTAAATTTTCTACATTAATTTAGGGGTTAACACGTAAGTAAACCCTCAATGTAGATATTTTTACATTGAGAGTAATTTTTAAATTAAGGGTTGTAACACAGCATGCAGGTTAACCAATCAGGAGAAACTCGCGATGAAATCATAACACATCAATGATCCAATCAGGGCGCCCTTCGGATTCGAACCCACGACAATAGGTTTCTGGAACTCTAAGGGATGCAACTCTGCCGAAGCGTGCCGAAGCCGACGGGACCACCCATATGAAAATATTGATTCTGGAATCGATCCCTCAATCATCGCATCCTGTTCGCGTATGGGTGCCTTAGACGACAGGGTATGTCCCGCATTAACACAGGTCTTTGCTTGCTTGTTGTTTATCGCCGCGCTAAGCAATATTCTATCTATGTTATAGTCTGGACCAGAACAAACTTGATATTGTGAGCAACGATCTACGCCGTCCAGGTAAGCTGAAACACAGTCAGGCAAGTCACCGAGGCTGCTCATCTGATCCCATAAGTCGCCTTATTACGACAGGCGTAGGTTGCTGGAGGCTGATATTCAAGCCTGGCATCCCCACGTGAACATGAACACGGGTATTTCTGGATGTACGCGTAATAGAGAGGATGCTTACTCTATTGTCGTATCAACAGATACGAGACTTGCATCCATGTGGTCTCAAGCCTAAATGTGTTCATGTATGGGTAACCAGTGATTTATAGCATGATCACGGTACGGTAACCCACTCAGCGCGGCAATACTACACAGTGCAACCTCATTACTCCGGTGATATCCTTCGAAAGACGAAAGGACGAGAGTCCTTTTCGGTCCACCAGAAATTTTGCGGAAGCTTTTGTTTTGTTATGTATGAAAACTATCAGACATGTACAAATTGCTGACATCTTGTCTCTTCTCTTCAGGACAAGTTTTGGACTTCTGACATGCTCAAATTCAAATCTATTTTGTTGTTTTAGTTCGTTTTCGAGAAAAGAAATGAGTTTGAATGCTTTACTCACTCAAACCGAAAATGTAGAAGCCTCGACGCTGATTGGTGGTGGCTCAGGGCGCTGATTAGTGGATTAAGACGCTGATTGGTGGATTAGAAAGTCCACCTGACCTCTAAAATCTAGGCTCTGATCAAAATGAACATATTTTACAGATAAAAACAGTTGTTAAATTTTCGTTTTGAAATATGATATAAAGGAGCCCAGAGACTCTCTTCATTCGGGATACTGCAGTATTCTAGACTGGCCAAATATTATAGAGCCTGACAAGAGCTGCATTGGATATATTTATTTCAGGGTCTGTAGGACAGACTAACCTTACCTCCTGTGGAAATGTAAGATCTTCACGTAGAGATCGGATGTTAATGAGATTACATCAATTAGATAAATATGGATAAAATGTGTGAAAAAGGCCGATTTGTCGAACTCGAAAAGGAAATCTAAGTATAACAGGCCCGTAACCCAAGTTGAACGTTACTTACTGTTTATCTAATCTCCTATGAACTAAGTATAGGAGAAACCATTTCTACGAGGGATTACCAGCGATTATAAACCCTGACATGAGGTGACATACCGTGGGGGCCCTGGGGTTTACAATAATTAATAAGCCCTCCTGCGAGGTGTTACAATAGTTGTAATACCCCCTGCGAGGTGTTACCACAATTTCAAAAACTCCATATCGAGTTACACAAACAGCCAGTAGGTTTATAAGCTTGGATGCAAGACTTGCTCACGTTCAAGTGTAAGAAAATTAGGATGACACATTTATCCTTATCTATGCATGTTGTGCTGCTCCAAACAGTCAATGGTTTGAAATGACAAAAGTCTAGTTCTCATTCATATGAACACATGCGATAACTTGCACAACAATTTCTACACGTTTTGATATATTCTATAATTTTGCACATCCTGTCAATCAAAAAAGGCCCTTATCCTAGATCGTCCTTTCCGGATTAACCAATCGTTTCAGTTGTGGCAGTCGTTTCTAAAATTCGTACAGAAGACGAAGTTTCCGGACTAACGAGGTTTCACTGTATACAGTGTACAACCGATATATTTTGGCGGACCCTTGCAACAAACCGTGTGTACTAGGTCTCTGACTCTCTGTTGTGAACCGGAATGCCTACTGAGACAAACATGATACTGAGTATCTGGAGCTCATTTGAACACGAGTAAACTTACACAATGAAGCGCACGTAAAATAATGTCTTGGCCGTCTATTGACGACAATGCTCGGCAATTTCTCGCGCTGACAAGTAGAACGTTTGGTTCATCAAGAACATGACTGAGACCTCTAACAGCCTCTGTGCCAGTGCCCTCTCATTTGCTCGCTCCTTCTTTGAACGTGGTATAAGATTTGGCGAGATACGTGATTATCTGACTGACTGATGTTAAACCTTACAGGTGTTCAGGTATCCAGGTATAATTGCCCTTGTCCTTAAATCCACCCGGCGTAGTGTCTTGAAACAAAGCACAATTATCACAAAGTAGAGAAACTGATCTTTATATAGGTATGGGCTCCCTAGAAAACATTGTCTGGAACAAGTCCAGCTGATGTCACGTCAGTGTAAACAATTTTTATATTGTAACAAACAGCGAGCATCATTTGCTAGCTCTTCACAAACTGTATAATCAGGCGAAAATATTTATTAAGAACGTTTGTATATCACCAAGACAGCTATGCCCCAAGATCATTATCTTGAAATTTCAACTAAGTGTGTATCTCGAAATTTCAAGTAAGTATCTTGAAATTTTAAGCGCGCACCCCCCCCCCCCCCCCCAAAAAAAAAAAATATTGGCCGAAAAAAGCTTTCGTACTTACCAGCTTTCCAAGGATCAACACAATACCTTAACAAAGAGCTCAATGTTGGCGTGTATCTGACTTCTAGGCGAAGTTCACGACTGAGATT